GCCCCATCAGGGGGCTAGGAGGCACACCGGCAGCTGCTGTCTTAGGGTTTTGGCCAATCAGAGGACTGGAGGTTACCCCTGCTGGAGATGGGTGTCTGCTCAGTGAGGGACTGGCCTGACCCAGGCGTCTCTGGAGGGCAGGGCTTGGTGGTGTGTTGGTGGCCACTGTGCGGTGGAGGGTGTTGGGGCTGCCAGGGACAGTGTGGACACCCATGATGTTGACCTGGGAGCCCTCAGGGGAGTTGGGTCTGTGGGGGTGGGAGGGAGTACCTTCTGAAGAAACAATCCTCCTCCTACAAAAAAACAACAATGGGCAAAATGGTTACATCCTGTATCTGCTATTTATACTTTAAATATAGAAAATCATAAGGATCATTTGAGCATCATTATCTAATATATTTAGTATTGAGTGGAATAAATTGCTCATCAATTGCCTATCTGCTTATCTTTATCAGCCTATTACATTTTTCTTATTTAGGATAACCAGGACTAAGCAGAAAATGCCAGTACTGAAAATTCATGGACTATTATGCTTACCAAACACAATCCAGTTGCAAAATGCATTTATTCAAAATTCTGAACATGTCAAATATGAAATGTGTACATTGACTACAGACTGGTTATATGATTATTTGGCCAATGTGTAACAATATTGTGATAGATGACTGCAGTTTTAATAGTGCTTCTCTTCCCTATCTTTCAACCAGCTGTGAAACTTTTTACTCACCCATCAGCACTGTGAATTGGACTACTGGGGAATAGAGGAGTGTTGAACGGCTGTGCTCTGGAATCCCCAAAACTGCAATTGTCTGAGCACCAGAAAGCATCAAAAAACACACAAACACAGTTAACTTAGTATGTTACATAACATTTTTTGTCCAGAACCAAATGGAAGTTTTCAGGCATCATGCCCAAACAAAAAGCTGGAAAGACAGAAATAAAAAATGATTCCAAATGTATTCTTACTCCAACAATCATTCTGTGGAAATGCGGGATGCACAAGTAAAAAGGAAAACATCTGCCCGCAGAGAATCAGAAGATTGTGCTGATGTTTGGTGCAGAGGCCCCTAAAGTATATTGCCACAGAAAGGCACTCACCTTGCTCTCCATCATTAGTATCAGTGTCTGACAGCAAGAAAGATAGAAAGCAATAGTAGGAAAAGAAGAGGAGGTATTATATAGTAAGACATAATGCAGTGATGCTGCTCTGGAAGTATCTAAACAAAGTCAAAACTTCTGTAAATTTACTATTGCACCTTTTCTTTTCCTTTAAGTAGCTTCAAGGTTGTTGAATTACCCTCTGTCTGACAATTTATATATGTCCTGTATCAACTTGCTCCAATTCTTCACTGAAATTGTAAGTTCACGCTGAATGAAATAACTCTTGTATTTGATGTGTATAAACTGACCTGATGCCCCCTGTTGGTGTGGCTTCATTCCCAGTATAGACACAGGATTCTTGGTGAAACCTGGGGGAGAACGAGCTACAGACAAAAAGACAGATGAGAACTGTGTTTTCAAGGAATGACAAAAAAAAAGAAGAAAAGAATAAAACATAGCCTACTTAAGATGATGGCAGTAAGATGAGAACCGGACTCACAAGCCATGCAAGAATGCAACATTTCCAATACAAGTGGATTTACATGTCTGAGATGCACTTGATTAATGAAAATATTTCATATCAATCAGGCGTTTACTTCAAATGACCAAAAAGTGCTGGTGTGTTTTTAAAACATTTACTTTATGCTTATGCTCATAGATGTAGACCAATGGAATAAGTTTAAATGATCAACATCACATATTCACTTATTAACTGTACAAAGATGATATAAAAATCAGTCATATGTAAGGTCAGAGGAACCAGAAAATAGATGCATTCAATGTGGCACC